GCAGGTGTTGAGGAGGCTCGTGGAAAAGCTCTGCTGGAAGAAGTCCCGACAAATCTGGTCTGCGTTGAAATCTGTGCTCAGGTCTACCCCTTCCCAGCACTGCTATCTCTCCACTTCCTCCCGTCACTCCTCGCCGTGGAGAGGCGCTGGCCCAGCTTCTGGAAAAGGGCACGGATGGGAGACTCTTAGCTCCTATTTTTTTCCCTCTAACAGCAATTATTTAAAAAAGGAGTCTACGAAGAGTTGACGCCTCTGTTTCAGTGTTGGGATCCTGGCAGGCTCCGCTTGGAGCATCTCCCAGCAGGCACCTGGGTGTGCACACCTCGGTACAACAGGCTGGCGGTGTCACTGAGGGAACGTGGTGGAGATGGCTTCCCTCTCCCTGCCAGCCGGGAAGGGGGTCCCACTGGCAATTCCCAATCAGTCGGTGCCGGGCTGCCAAAAAGACTGTCTGTTCTCCCATCCAGCGCCTGCGGCTGCCAGCCATGAGGAATCGCAGCGGAGCTGCAGGCTCGGGGTTGCCTGCTGCGTTCACTTTGCTCCATGTTGGTGAAACGGCATTCCCCCATGGAAAATGGGATTTAAAGAGCTCCTAGCCTGGGCTGGCTCCCTGCTTTGTGTCCCATAGCCGCAGTGCTGCTCGGCCCTGGGCAGCAAGCGTGCTACGGGGCAGGGTCCCCCGAGTTGTTGCTACCTCTGTGCAATGAGGAGCAGAGAGCCCGTTTGAGGAAAAGGGGCTTTTTATACTGGTGGCCACCTGGGAAGCACAAGTAATAGAAAGGGGACCGTGGATTTGTGGCTCAGCTCCTCCAAACCCTCCCTCAGGGTGCAAAGCGCGGGCCAAGGGGCTCTGATCAGAAGCTTCGGCTCTGCTAGGCAACTGCTTCCCGCTGGTCTTGCTGGGATTTGTGGAAGAGGGTGCCAGGAGAGCACGGGCAGAGCCGTGGAGAGCGGTGAATGGGCTCTGCAGGTCAGCAGGGGAGCGCTGGAGCCCGCTGGCTAGCAGCAGGCCCGGCTGCTTTTGCAACCCCACTCATCGCACAGGGTGAAGCAGAGGGAGGTTTATGAAAATACACGAGGGCTCCTTAGCCGAGAGCCCTGCTCCAGCAGCCCGGTGCTGGGCCTGGGCACGGTGTCCCTATAATGATGTCTGCAGCCTGTTGTGCTGCAACATGCTTTAAAATTGAATATTCCAGGGCCTCGGGGGGCCACTAGCAATGGAGCAAGGCCAGTGGTCACCCAAAGGGCAGCCGGAAGAGACATCCAGCAACCAACTCCAACTCCAGGCTGTTTGCTGCACTTCTTTGTGTGTTTTCTGTTACCCGTGAAGGGGCCCAGGTGGCATGTGAGTCTCTCAGTGGGTCACAGCTCTTACCTTTAACTCTGGGCTGCTGCCTGCATTGGGAGAATTGCTTTTCCTCTGGGAACAGGGTGTTTCCACTGCCAGTGCAGAGCCCGTTTCCATCATTAGCGCAGCTCGGGCTTTTGAAATTAAGCAGAGCTTGCGCTGACACTGCTTTGAATAGGATTTGCGGCTGTGCCCAGACTGCAGAGCTGATCTCATGGCAGAGATAATGTCATTAACAGGCTTATGAAGCCTGCAGCCCAGCGGTGCTGCATGCTACCAAGGGCAAAGCTGGTGCAGGGCGTGCTGGTGGGGAGGGCAGCGAGTGCACGACCAGCTCTGGGAGGTGGGATGTCCTCTTTTAGAATTGAGGTGGCCCTGTTTTGTGGTGGTTTCATCTCCACCTGTGAGGCTGATGTGTGCCAGGAGCTGGCTTCCCTTGGGGCTGGGGAGACTCCTTTGTGCCTCCTTACCCAGAGGGCACAAAGACCAGGATGAATCCTCGGCAAAGCCTTTTTTTTTGGGAACAGGGGAAGGGTAGGCCTGCAGCGAAAGGGAGAGGTGAACCACGGTGCTGTATGATTTTTGTGAGACACGGCTTGCTGCTTTGGTTGTTGCATTGCCTCCAGCTCCATGTCCCTTCCCAGTGCTGCAGAAGTTCAGGTTGTGGGCTGAGGTGGAGAGCTGCTGCCTTGCTGGCTATCTTTGGCTATTTGGTTCTACACTTATTTCTCAAGCTCCCTGGTCCTCTCCATTTTGCCCGTGCCCCTGCTTCAGCTCCGTCTCCTAGGGGACGCACTGACCCCGGTCACTGGCACTGATGGAGAGCTTGGGACAGAAAGTGCTAGGACAGATTTACTGCCTTAATAGAGGCTCAGGGAGAGAAGCTGGGAGTGAGCAAGGAGCTGGGATCTAGAGCCAGTCTAGTTAGTTCTCCTGGGAGCTAGCTGTCTGCAGGGGCAGGTTGTCAAGAGACCAGACATCGGTGCCCAGGATGTCTACATGGGCTGTGATCTCTGTCTCTGCAGCCCCCACAAAGGAAGTGGGCTGTGTGCGCCCTTGGCGGGCAGCAAGCAGGAGAGCCTGCACGTGACTGTCTCAGGTTAGTCCTTGCTAGGGCACAGATCTGGAGCCTGTGGTGGACTTGAATGAAATGAGCCCTTTTCCAAAAGGACGAACCCAAAGCAGAATCCCTAATGGTGCAGTGAGTCTATGCAAGATAACATGTGAGCACAGTCTGCCCAGTGTGTAGCCCCGGGTCCGTTCTACAGATGCGGCATACATCATTCCCAGATCACAGCCTGGTACTGTAGGATGACAACAATAAATATTCATTAAATGTTGTCTCTTAGCCAGTTCCTCTGCCAGTATCTCTGCTTGGAGAAACGCAGTTGTAGCTTAATTTTGATCCTGTTTTTCTTCTTTATAGGTTCAGAAGATCTGAAATTCTGCATCCTTTACCTTGCAGAGGTGAGTAGTGGTGTTTTTGGAATTACTTCTTAGTGGGATCTTAGCATGTACTAACAACTCTTTGATTCTTTCTGTTGGGGCAAGGAGCACTAAATGCTCAAAGGAGCATAAAATGCAAGTGATTTTAACTTCCTTTTTAATGGCTGTAGCTGGAATGTGTTAGTAAGAAGGTGCTACAAGGAATCTGTGACTCGAGAGGCTATGCAGCACTGAGACCTGGTTGCTCTTCCCCACATGAGCAGTAGGTGGAACTTCCTTGCCGCATCTCACCTTTAATTTACCTTGGAGTTCTTTAGCTTAGGGATAGATTTCATTGTGATGTGTCTTGACTTTGTTGGGGGCATCTTGCTTTTCTTGTTGTCAAGCGCTCGGATTTTAAACCCGCAAATAGAATAAGGAAGCTCAGTGTAAAAGACTTAAATAATCACAGATCTAAAAATGCATGCGGATGGTGCGTGGCTGAATGCTCTAAACAGATTTGCAATCACTCAGATGCTGGCGGAGTTATGTTTGTGTCGTGAAGGAGCCAAGGAGACTGCAAAACTTGTTCGCAGTAACTGGACCTACCTAATCACTGAATGCTGCGGTTATTTTCTTTTCAAGTAACCTTACTGTGTTCCTGGTTTCAAGGCCTTGTATTTTAGGGTGGAAATCTGTGTCTGGGATAGTTCCCTAGGGCTTTGAGGAGAAAGACAAACATTGCTCAGCAGCACCACCATATAATAAGCTATTGTGAAAGTTGGATGAAAATACTCCGAATGAAAGTTTTTCACCTTTAGCGGCTGGGATTTGGGCCAAAGCATGACTTGCTGTGTAACTTTGGGCAAATGACTTCTTTCTCAGGTTTCCCTCTTATTCCTTTCCTGTCCTCCCTATTTCTTCTCTAAGCTGTTGGGGCAGGAGCAGCCTTCTCAGTTGTTTGCCCAGCACATGTCCCAGGGTAATGTCGGACTTGTATGGCATCTCTATACTGCTGTGACTCAGAAATGCTGCAACGAATGATTGTCAGTGCCAATCTCAACAAGGGGATGAGGCACGCTTGCATTTTCTTGTGTGTTTGGAAAAACACGTTTGGAGGCTGACATTTAATTTAGAAGCCTTGGTCCCCTAAGTAGAAGTAATTGAAGGAGCAGTGGCTGAATTTCATGGGATGTTGGGAGGAGAAGACTCATCTTTGTCGAGATGTAATGTGTAATGAAATGAGGAAATGCTTAGTTTTTTTCTTCTGATGGGCTTAAATGATCCTGACTCTCTCTCACAGCTCTGCTGATTGAAATCTGTGACATCCATTGTGGTTGGAGTATAATAGTTGTATAGAAAACGTGAAAAATTACTTACCTCCAGGCATGCTCCCGTGCAGAGGACAGCAGGTCTGGAAAGGCTGTGCTTATGGGGTTATGCAAACCCTTCTCCTTGGAGCTGTCTGTCCCAGGTATTTCAGAGCAGGCTGCAAACAGCGGCAGTGTCCCTGCCCCAGGGATAAACAGGTCAGTCTTGTGCCTGTACCCCAGCAGTAGGTACTTATACCCTGGCCTGGGCCAGCCATAGCTTTCAGGTGAGCTTGGCCAGCTCCCGGCTCAAACTCATCCTCCTGGAGATCAGGACATCCCTGATATCATCCCATCCCTCCTGGACACAGGCTTTGAGGCCTGATGTTTTCCACCGAGCTAGGGAGTGGAAGCTGACCTGATGCCTGCCTGTGGGACAGGCAGAGATGTAACTCTCCAGCCAGGTGGCTTTGCCTAGGTCTTTTGTGCAACGACAGGAGAGAAGGAGGCTTTTTTGTGTGTGTTTGTGAGTACACAGCACAGATGTAAATGGCCAGCCTCAGGCTTCAGGGAGACAGTGCCTCTTTCACCCGTAAGGCTCACCAGACTCTTCAACAGTGGGTATTTTTGGTTCAGGAAGGGAAGCTGAGGCACAAAGAGAGGCCGGGACTTGCCTATGAGTCAGCAGCGAGCCGGGGCAGGACAGTGCAGTCCTGACTGCCCTGCGGGTGCTCTTCAGGGAAACAGTGACCAAAAGTCCCAACCCTGGGAGCTGAACGGAGCGAGTGAGCAAACTGCAAGGAGTTGGGCTGGTGGCTAAAGCATGAGAAGAGAAGCCTTTTGCAGTGAGAGGTCATGTGGCTGCATGAACTGTCCTCTGCAGAAGTAGACCTCAGGCGAATGGAGATGGGCTTTTAGTACCTGATAGGACATCATCTTGGGAGCCAGCTTGGGAGTGTTTAAGCATCTTCTTCCTGGAAGAAAGCTAAATGAAGCTTTAGTTACAGGGGTATTGGGGTGTCCTCCTGGGGTGCTGAGAGCTAGGAGTGTGGGGGGAGACAGTCCTCCTCAAAGCGTTGCTGCCAGCTGGCTGTGGACAAAGGCACCGTGGAGTCATGGAAGCCTCACTGGGCCGGTAGGACCTGTGGTTTGTGGTGTTAAGGTTGTCTTCGCAGCGGGGCACACTTTATTGTCAAGCAAAAGCTGGGATTCGGGCATAGGGAAGTGGCACCCTTGTGTGGCAGCAGCATGCAGGCCTGCAGCGGGGGTCTCTGGGCCAGGCCAGCACAGCTGCCCCTGCTGCCTGACGTCTGTGCTGTCCACGGGCGCCCAGCTGGACCCCCAGCTGTGTGACTTCCTTCTGGCCTGATGCAAAGCTCAGGCTCCTGTCTGACTGTGGGAACGAGCCTGTTTCCCGCTGCGGGGATGGCTTCCCTGCTGGGAGGGGCTGGCTTGGCTTTGGGGCTCCTGTGGACGCCCCACGTCATCCCTCAGCGTCTTTCTGCTAGCCGATGTGCATCGCTCCTGCTCTTTGCAGTGCAGCAGGTGCCATGTCAGCCCTAAGTGAGCTGGGGCCTGGGATGCCTGTAGCAAATGAAAGACGATTGGGAAAGCGGATTAAATAGCCTTGTGCTCCTTTCTGCCTTGTTCGTAGGCCTAAAGGCTAGGGAAAGATATGGTTTCTGAGACTTGGGATTGAGTGTGGGCAGTGTCTTCTTCTGACAGAGCCGTCTGCACGCTCACGGGGTGCAGTCTGAAAGCTCATCCGGTCCATGGTGGCCCTGGTTGCACTTCTGCTGCGTGGTGGGTCTGGGGGTTTAGTGGTCATCATCATCCAAGCACTTGTTTCACCATGGTATCTGGCAGCCAGGTCCATCGTGCTGCCCTTACAGGGTCTATGGTGTTGGTAGAAACTCTCATACTGCTGTTTCCTACCCCAAATCATCTGCAGTGAACGTTAATGTATTTAGTGCTGCTGCGGGTAGGAAAGGAGCCCATGGCTCACCTCAGGCTCACTGTGGGAATGGCTCTTCTCCGAGGTCTCGAGCTGTTGGGGTCCTCCTGCTCCATCCTCATCCGGAAAATGGCCCGGTGTTGCTTCATGAGGTAGCATTTAGCATTTCGATCCTGTGCGATCCAAAGTGAGAATATGTTTTGTTGTCTATCTCTCTGTTGCTTTATTGATTTTAACTGTAAAGGAAAATTCTAACCTTCAGGGAAAATGGAGGGTAATAAAAAAGCTGCTCTTAGTCATCCTGTCTACTCACTTGTAAATAAATCGCTCCACGAGGTTTAAATCTTGAGTATTATGGTTATTTACAATCAGATAGCACACTATCATCTTTATAGCCTGGTGTAGGTTAAAGCAGGAGTATTTAGTTGTTGAGCTCTTCAGGGTGTGAATTGCAGTGTTCTGGGTGCTTGGATGTGCCTGGTGTAAGCGGCTGCAATCCTGCTGGGGTGTGTGCAGCACCTTCCTTAGAAGGCAAGCGCTAAACATAGGTTGGTATTGGAAAGGATGTAGAAATAGAGGAAGATTCTCCACTTAGCTGTCCCTTCTTATTTTTATTTTATTTTATTTTTTAATAAAACCACTTAAATTAATAGTACAGTTGAGTAAAATTGAGAGCTTGCATCCCAGGGACAATTCTGACATGTCAATATAGGTTGCCATTTGGAAATATTTTGCACAGTGGAAATTCTGCAAGCTTCTAGCTGGGAAATGCAGCCATGCTATGTTCCTGATGGTGGCGATGAGGTAGCTGTGATAGTCCCAGGACATAAGCAAGCCAGAATTATGTGAGTGAAAGTAGTACCTTTTGATTTGATGAAGAGTTTGTGTACCTGAAAGTTTGTCTCATTTTTCTGATTGCCAATTGGTCTAAGAAAAGTTATTACCAACCTATAAAGACCTAGTCTATCCTATGCGTCATTTCAGCATTTTCAATCAAAATGAAACAGTTCCGAGCTGGAAAGTTTTATTTCAATATATTGAACTGACCCGGCCTGTGGAAGTGTTGGGCTGGTCTGATGTGGACTTGTGTTTCTCCACAGCAGAGGATTTGGTGTGTGTGTGTGGGGGGGTGTCCCCATTTTCCTAGTGCCTGTGTGCCATTCCCTGCAGGGCACGTACTCGCGCAGCACCCGTGATGGCACGTGCAAAGTCTGCCAGAAAAAAACCCATATATTGTGTTGTGGAAATTGATAGCCAGTCCAGAGACGTGAATATGGTCCAGGGCCGTATTCACACCCTTCCCCAGTCTGGAAATATCCCACTGATAGGAAACTGCAGATCAGTGTTTTATTGCATTGTTAGAAGTTTTTGATTCAAACCCAACATATTCAGGCCAAATTGACTTAAAATCAAATAGCTCATTAAGTTTTTCATTGTAAAAACGTTAGCAAAATCGATCCTTTTCTCTGGAAGTTTTCCTCTGCAGGCGCTGGATTTTCCCTTGGGAAATTGCTCTGACAGAAGATCTTTCCAATTCCAACTTCTTGGCCTGCTGTAGTGAGCACGCTTAGAGACCCGAGCAAATTAATGCTGTGAACCTGATCTTGTTGTGTGTTGGAGATGCACATCCTACCTCCGCACGGGAGATCCTCTGGACAAGTGTCCATGAAACGACTCTGTCACCCCTCCTGTCCTCTGGCTCTGTGCGGACGCATCCTGTGCCCTTGTGGTCCCCCATGGGCACCTTTCCTGCTGCAGGGATGTTCCAGGTTGCACTC